ACTAGGGAAATCCACTTGAATCCTCCTTGTTCCTGCTCCCACCTGTTTAGAATTATAGCCTGCTAGATCTTAGTGTTCAGAGGCCTACCTGTATGAAAATTCCAGTTTTGTTATGAGTCATATAAACTTAGGGAAGGGGTTTTCAAATGGGAAGGATTTGTCCCCACAAAGGAGATCTGTCAAAAATGTCTGAAGACATATCTGAGCGGGGGAGGGGAAGGGAAGGAGATGGAGATGCTACTGAAATTTACTGGGTAGAGGGTCAAGGATGCTATAAACACCCCATAATACACAGAACTTCCCCCTACAACAAAGAATTATCTGACTGAAAATGTCAGTAGTGCCAAGTTGAGAAACCCTGCCCTAAATTAATAATTTAACTTCCCTGGGCTTCAGTTTCCTCATACGCAAAACAAGGCAAATAATAATACCTGCTGTGTAGAACCATTGTAAGGTTCAACAAGGTAATGTAGAAACCAAATACCTAATAATCATGGTGGGTACGACACGATATCCCTGCCAGGGTGGCTGTACGTCTGCCTGGTTTCTGAGCCCACTCTGTCTAGCTTGCCTGTGGCCAAGGCCAGTGCCTCTGACTCTTTCCTTTGGTCTCCAAGTCGCCCTTCTCTCCTTTGTGACTCTGCCTTATCAAGTGGCCAGAATGTTCTTCCTCAGATCCCTCAGAACTGCAGGTCTCTGCCTCCACCTCCCACTTCTCAGTGTAGCCCCCTCCCAGACTTTCCTGCCTCAGCTCTAATGGCTCCCTGCACCCCTCAGCAGGCCAAGCTGCACCCCCTTTCCTGGTCAGCATTTTCCATGAGCCCCTTCTATGCTGTCCAACAGAGTGGCATAAGATAGTGACACTATCCTGTGTTTGGATCAGGCTGCCTAGCTGGATCTGTAGCTGTCCAGTTTGAGGAAAGTCAGCCTCAGCTGCAAAACAGGGACATCTCCAACCCATGACCTGGCTTTGTAGACCACATTGAGAATATATGTGAAAAGAGTATAGAAGTATAAGTGAGGGCCCTCTCTGGTGACATAACTGGTTAAATTGCAGCACTGTGAAGCTGTCACAGTCACTGCAGCACGTCATCAGTTCAATCCCTGACCCACATGACAGCAGACCATTC